CCCCATAAAATTTTGAAATAAAAAAAATTTTTAAAAAGTGTGCTGACATCGATTAGGGTATCTACATTAGAAAAGAAAGAGAAAAAACATGTTTAGTTCACACTCATCAAATATTTAACCATCAGTTCCTAAAAACAAGCTAATGATTCAACCACAGTTTAGCATAATCATAAGTAAACTAAAAGAAACTAAAGATGAGTACTGTAACTAAGAGCTTTGCCAAATATAACAATGCAGGTTACAAGGTGTATTTCTGTGCCTATAAATGTAAAAATTGGCAGGGCACGGTGGCTCACGCCTGTAATCCCAGCACTCTGGGAGGCAGAGGCGGGAGGATCGTTTGAGCTCAGGAGCTCGAGACCAGCCTGAGCAAGACTGAGACCCCTTCTCTACTAAAAATAGAAAGAAATTAGATGGACGAGTAAAAATATATAGAAAAAATTAGCCGGGCACGGTGGCATATGCCTGTAATCCCAGCACTCTGGGAGGCAGAGGCGGGAGGATCGTTTGAGCTCAGGAGTTCAAGACCAGCCTGAGCAAGACTGAGACCCCTTCTCTACTAAAAAAATAAAATAAAATAAAATGTAAAAATTACCTTTCCAAGTTTTGCTATATCTCGGTACAAGGATAAAGGCAGAGTAAAGGTAACCGTGGAAATCATAATTACGAAGTGGCGACCAACAAACAAGTTTTCAGGATCAACTAAAACACAATAAATATTATTAAATGTATATAGGTATAAGTAACACATTGATGGTACAACTAAATAGCCAAGAGTTTAATTATAAAAATTACTTAAACATAAATACTACCTCAACAATAATGATTTTGGTTAACAAACTCTATAAAACCATGTAAAAATAGAAACAAATTACAAAAATGTAAATACTAAATAACTTAAGGTTTAATCTATTTTTCAAATGATGTTATAATATTTTACATTAAAATTATTTTAATAGCCTCCTAATCAGTTCCCATGCTTCTGTTTTCTTTGTCCTCTTAGAGTATACTCTTAACCCAGAAACTGCAGAAATCTTTTTCAAACATAAAAAACATTATGCTATTTCCTGTCCAAAACCTTGTGATGGCAGAACCCTTCATGTAGAAAGTAAGCTACATGACCACAGTGCATTTGCTAAGGTGTTTTTTTTTTAACTTCTGTGTATCAATAGATTTGAGCAGTAATAACTGAATAAAATTTCAAAAATCAAGGTTTAGATAAAAATATTTAATATATTTATAATACTTTTGTCAAGAAAGAAGTAAATGGTAGAAGCAACTTTTCAGATAGGGCAGAAGTCATAGGGAAGCTGCTGCAATTGGTATACACTGCAGATTCTTGGCTATCATAGTGAGCAAATACAAATAGAAAAATACTTTCATTTTTATTTCTATTCTTAAAATAGATTTCATATATATGTATGTATACATATATATACAAAATCAAATAGAAACAGAAGTTTTAAACATAAGATGAAACAGCAGGATTTATACATTTTAAAAGCTGTGCTACAAGAAAACTATTAGAACTGATAAAATAAATTAAGTAAAGTTGCAGGATACAAATTAGTAGAATTTTTATATGCCAACATCAATAAGAAAGGAATACCATTTACGATAGCTACAAATAAAATAAAATACCTGGGAGTAAACTTAACCAAAGAAGTAAAAGATCTCTGCAATGAAAATTATAAAACACTGACAAAAGAAATTGAAGAGATCACAAAAAAAGGGAAAGATATTCTATGCTCATGGATTGGAAAAATCAATATTGTTAAAGTAACCCCATACTATCCAAAGCAGTCTATAAATCCAATGTAATTCCCATCAAAATACCAATGACATTCTTCCAGAAATAGAAAAAGTAATCCTAAAATTTATTTAGAACCAAAAAAATACTCAGAATAGCCAAAGCCATACTGAGCAAAAAGAACAAAACCATAGGAATCACATTGCTTAACCTCAAATTGTACTACAGAGCTGTGGGTAACCAAAACAGCATGGTGTTGCCATAAGAACAGACACACAGACCAATGGAACAGAATAGAGAATCCAGAAATAAATCCACACATCTATGGTGAACTTATCTTTGACAAAGGTGCCAAGAACATACAGTGGGAAAAGGACAGTCTAGTCTCTTCAATAAATGATGTTGGGAAAACTGGATATCCATATGCAGAAGAATGAAACTAGACCCTTATCTCTCACCATATACAAAAATCAAGTCAAAATGGATTAAAGATGTAAATCTAAGACCTGAAACTGTGAAACTACTAAAAGAAAACATAGGGGAAACTCTTCAGGACAATAGTCTGGGCAATGATTTCTTGATTAATACCCCCAAAACACAGATAACCAAAGCAAAATTGGACAAATGGGATCACATCAAGCTAAAAAGCTTCTTTCTGCACAGCAAAGGAAACAACCAAGGTAGGGAAGAGACAACCCACAGAATGGGAGAAAATATTTGCAAATTACCCATCTGACAAGGGATTAATAGCTAGAATATATCAGGAGCTCCAGCAACTCAATAGGTAAAAAAAATCAAATAATCCGATTGAAAAATGGGCAAAGGATCTGAATAGACATTTCTCAAAAGAAGAGACATATAAATGGCCAACAGGTATATGAAAAAATGCTGAACATCACTGGTCATCAGAGAAATGCAAATTAAAACTACAAGAAGATATCATCTCACCTCAGTTAAAAAGGCTTTTTTACCAAAATGACAGGCAATAACAGATGCTGATGAGGATGTGGAGAAAGGAAAACCCTTATACACTGTTGGTGAGAATGTAAATTAGTGCAACCACTATGGAGAATAGTATGGAGGTTCCTGAAAAACTAAAAATAGAACTACCATATGACCCAGCAATCCCAGTGCTGGATATATATCCAAGGAATGGGAATTCAGTTTATTGAAAAGATATCTGCACTCCCGTGTTTATTGCAGCACTGTTCACATTAGCCAAGATTTAGAATCAATCTAGGTGTCATTCAATGGATGAATGGATAAAGAAATTGTGGTACATACACACAATGAAATACTATATAGCCACATAAAAGAATGAAATCCTGCCATGTGCAACAACATGGATGGAACTCGAGAACATTATGTTAAGTGAAATAAGCCAAGCACAGAAAGACAAATCTCACATGTTCTCACTCATATGTGGGAGCTAAATATTGAAAACAATTGATTCCATGGAGACAGAGAATAGAATGATAGTTTCCAGAGGCTGGGAAGGATAACAGGAAGAGAGGGATAAAGTGGGGATGGTTAATGGGTGCAAAAATATAGTTAGATAGAATGGACAATATTTTATAGCACAGCAAAGCGACCATAATAAACAAGTTATACTTTAAAATAACTGAAAGAGTGGAATTGGACTGTTCCTAACACAAAGAAATGATAAATACCTGAGGTGATGGATACCCAAATTACCCTGATTTAATTAATTCACATTGTATGAGTGTACCAAAACATTACATGTACCCTATAAAGATATACAACTATTATATACCCATAATAATTAAAAAAACCAAAATAGTCACTTTAGGAGCTATACATCTATTCCAAAGAAGACACTATTGTTTAAATTTTTTAACACATGTTGAATTTCTTTCAGAGATCATGCCATATTGTTAAAATATCCTCATTGGTATCAAGACATCAATTTCTGCAAAGTCTAAAGTTTATAAAGGTCTAGCCTTAAATAAGTGAATGTTTGCGACAAGGAAAAAAGCTATTATTCTGAACAACGACACTAATTTTCTTGGATGCCTAGTTAACATACAAGAATGTTCCAAGATAGGAAGTTCAAAATAACATAAATTTCACTATGTATACACATATATGTATATATACACATACACATACACACACACACCAGAAGGGAATATTAGGTCATTAAATATGAAATGTCCAATTTCAAATCAAAAGTTTAGTTTATTACATCTCAAACAAGAAGCAGTACAATGAATCAAAGTACGCGCCTAAACTATCGACACAGTTTTGCATCTTAACAGTAGCTTGTTCGTGCCAGCAGCAAGAAGCCTCGAGAGCGACTGGTGATGAAATCACCTAAGGCGTTTTCCACAGCTTGTTGGGAATTGAATATCAATATATTTTTTCCTTGCAAGAAGTGGTCCAAAGCCTGGTAGTCAGTTCCTGCAGGGTTTGGTAAATACGGTGGATGACAGAGAGTTTCCAAGTCCAGCTTCTGTAGTTTGAGCAGCGTTGTTTGTGCGACATGTGGCCAACTGTTGTCTTGCAAGAGGATTGGCCTGTCTCTAGTGACAATTCTTAGCTGCTTAATCTCAAGCAACCTCATCATTTCATCCAATTGGTTGTAGGAGACATCCGCTGCAGTGGATTGACAGGGTTTCATGAAGCCATAGTGGATAATACCAGTGCTGGACCATCCAACAGACACCATTAGCTTTTTTTGATGAATATTCGATTTTGGACTGCACTTCATTTTTATCCAACCCTTGTGTTGCACACTAGTGATTATCAAAAAGAATTCATTTTTCATTACACATTACAATACATTGTAGACATGGTTCGCCTTTATGTCGTGACAGCAAAGAAAGGCAAGCTTCCAGACAATTTCTCTTCTGACTCTCATTTAATTCATGTGGTACCCATCTATCCAGCTTCTTTACTTTGCTGATTTGTTTCAAATGCTCCAATACTGTTGGAATAGTAATATCGAACCTTGCTGCTAATTCACACGTAGGTTGAGATGAATTTGCTTCCACTACAGCTTTCAGATCATCATTATCCACCTTGGTCTCAGGTCACACATGTGGCTCATTTTCAAGATTAAAATTTCTAGAATCGAAGTACTGTGCATTCATTAGCCACATCCTTCTCAAACACTTCGTTGATATTTCAAGCTGTCTGTGCTGCATTTTTTCCACAACGAAACTCATAATTGAAAATAACTCGAATTTTTTAGTTATCCCCAGTTTCACAAAAATTGCTTTAAAAAAATTTTTGAAAGTTAGTCACAAGCCAAACTGTGCATTTGAAAGAATGCAGATGTACCTTCACAATAAAAATAAAATGGGAAGTGTCAAAGTGAAATGTCAGAGATATCAACTGTCAAACTTAGTACTTAAGGAAATCAGACATTTCATACTTAATAACCTAATTCTTGATCACTAACCATAGGTAAATAGTCATGATAAAGAACTAAAATATTAAAACAGAAAGT